AAAAAAAAAAAAAAACAGAAAAAGGTTCCCTGGAGAGTCCAGTGCTCTCTGCCTCGAAGAAGTCCCTAAACTTGGATTTTGTGTAGCTTTCCATTTTATTTAACTGAATGTTTTCCAAATTGATTTGGCCAAAGAATTCTTTATTCCTGTCAAATGCTCTTGGTCCTGCCTCACTCAGTACAGCTCAGACCCTTTTCTTCTCCCCCACTCAAAGCCTTGGCACTTCTGAGCTTCAGCTTCTACGAACTTGGGTGTCACCGAGTGCAATTCTCGGACCTAACGTTTCCATTGTGTCCTGGCTACAGATCAGGCCACGGGGGTGAGGTGGCTGGGGTGAGAGTTGTGGAAGGAGTGTGGACTTCAGAGACAGCTAGGCCTGGTTGGAATTCAGCATCTACCACCAATCAGGTGTGAGAATTTGGGAGAGTGACCGTTTTTGGCACTCACTCCTCTTGTTAGGAGTGAGTGAAGCCAGGTGTGCCCACTGGGATGAACAGGCATCTGGAGTCAGAGACCTGGATGCTAGAGCTGGCTCAAGCGTCTACCCCCTTCGGCCTTTTAGCTTCAGTTTTTCCATCAGTAAAATGAGAGGATAATAATAATAAACAACTTAACCACACAGTATTGACTAGAATGTTAAGTAAATAGTCTGTGTGAAAGATCTTTGTAAACTGCAAAATGCTATAAAATGTTAGCTATTATCATGTCAAAGGAAAAAAGCCATGTGTGCAGAGGCTCTGTCCCTCTGCCTGGTGCATGGTAGGTGATCTGAAAACTTCAGTTCCTTTCAAACAAGCCAGCATCACCCCAAGCACTAGAGCGACACTTAGTCCTGGGGGACCTTATTCCAGTTGACAGATAAGAATGATTTGTTCGTAACACAGACTCCATTTTATGTTCCATCTTTCTCAGTATTGATTTGTTTATCAAAAATGTTATTTATAAGGAGCACAAAAATAAACCAGCCCAAATTCTGTGGGAAGTATCACAGGTTCTGAATTAATGAGGTCCAAATTTATGAGGGTTCTGAATTGGTCCTTCCTTTGTTTACTCTTCTATTAGCAGTCGTGGTGGGATGGGGAGAGAGGGACAGGGTTGCCTAAGAAGGGTCGGGACTCTCCCTGGAGCTGGTAGCACACCCTTTCATACACACCCTGACTGCCCCTCCCGCTCCCCCTGGCGAAGGTGCCTTTCTGCAGATGCTGGAGCCCGGTTTTGGGAACTGTAACATGGCCTGGGGTATGGGCAGAAGACTCTGAGTTCAGCTTTAATAATTCTATTCTATATAACTATGAGTTGTGACCATAGCATTTTCCAGCAAGAATGTTCCTCCTGGGAAGCTGTGTGCCCTAAGGAATGAAGTAATAGATTCCAGAGGGGAGGGGATGAGGGGAGTGGCAAAATTCTCAGGTTCCTGATGTGCTGGGACAACACGTCTCAGAGTGTGGTCCCTGGACCAGCAGCATCGGTGTCGCCAGGGGACCTGATAGAAATGCAAACTCTTGAGCCCCGTCCCAGAGCTACTGAGTCAGAGACTCTGGGAGTGGGGCCCAGGAATCTGTTTTAAGCCTTCCTGGTTAATCTGATGCAAGCTCGGTTTTGAGATCTGGGATAAATAAGAAGGTACAAGGGCTGGACTCTGCTGTCCAGAGGAAGAGCTCCGGGCCCCTCAACATAAACAGGGGGTGGAACCCAGACCTAAGAGGTGCCCACTGAACCTATCTGCATAAACTGCACTTAGGTTGTTTCTCCGCTTACTCTAGGGCAGTGCTTCTCATGCCTGGTGGCTTTAGAATCACCCGAGAACTCTTTTAAAATATCCCTGCCTGTGTCTGAACCCTGCCCAACTGAGTCAGAATCTTGAGTTGAGTCTGGGGGTGGGGGTCTGGTTGCTTTTTTTTTTTTTTTTTTGAGACAGGATCTTACTCTGTCACCCAGGATAGAGTGCAGTGGTGTCATCATAGCTCACTGCAACCTAAAACTCCTGGGCTCAAACGATTCCTCCGGCCTTAGCCTCCTGAGTAACTGGGACTCCAGACATGAGCCACTGCACCCAGCCTGAGTCTGTATTTTTAACAGCTCCCAAATGATTCCAGCGTGTAACCAGGGTTGTGATCCACAGATCCAGAGAGTGCCCTGCTAAGAAAAATTGTGATTTGGGTTGTCTTTGCATTTATCATAATTATTTCCATTTATTTCATCTGTTTATACTGGACAAATTACATATTTGTGTAGAAAAAAAGAACTTGGGGAGTCTAGAAAAGTTGAAAGGAGAGAAGAAATTACACTCACATTCCACCTGTCCGACGGCACTTGTCAATATCTCAGTGCGCTTTCTTTCCATCTTTTTTGTGTGCACTGGTTTGAATTTTTGTAGCACTGTGATCCTTTTGAATATACCATTTTCCATCCACCTTTTAACTTAACATTGTTTCTTAAGTAGTTCCACACATTGCAGTAGTTATAAGTGCAATTTTTAATATGCTCTTGCGGCAACATGAAAAAGATGACTTTTCTCCATTTTCACACGTACATACTTCAGGGTAGCGTTTAGGGAGGCCTTTCTTTCTTGACAATGCTCGTATTTCAAGCAAACTGTGAAATCCTATGTTGAATGTCAAAAGTGGGGCATTCACTTCTTTCTCTTTGAATTCCTACCCACCTAACCTAACCTGCCCTCGATCTGTTCCTCCCCTCAGCCCTACAGGTGTATGTCTGCATTAGGCTGGCGAGGGGTGCGGTCTTATTGTAGAAAGTCATGAAAGGAAAACGCATGCGTATTTTCTCGATGTTTTCTAACTACCATTCTACTCGTCAGTCTCAGCTAATGCTGGGTGCCTCCAAAATCACAGGTTGTCTTCCTCTAGGTTGTGGTATGATTCGTAAACATTCACATGCATAGAGCAGTCCCCATCGGGCCCGCTTCTGTGTGCTTTGGAAAGAAAAAAACAAATGGACGCAGCGAGAAAGAGCGAGAAGGAAGGTGGGACAAAGGAAAGGGTCGTGAGATGAACAGACATGTGCTGGTTACCCTGCGCTCAGTCAGAAATGCCAAAATCAAGCCGTGTGTCTGCTTTGTCCTTCTCTGCTTTGAATGTAACATCGCCGAGACTTTATTCTTTGTTGTACAGTCCTATGTACATATATGCATATATATGAATATTTTTCAATAATATATATATTACGTATATATTATATGTAAATAATATATGTACATATATATATTCTTGACTACTTCCACCTTCCAACTTAGCTGCCCGTTTGCAACGAGCACACCACCGTTGTCGGGTGAGACGGAGCCGCTTTTGTCTTCTGTGTTGGTGTTGTGGATGTGCCAGGTAATTCTGCCCCATCTTCTTGCAGGGCATTATGGGAAGGATGCTTACCGAAGTGGAGGACCAGATCTCCATAACTTCATCTCATCTGGATTTGTCACGTTAGGAAGAGGACACACGAAGGGTACAGTGGAAACCATTTTTTACTAAAATACAGAGGTTGCCTAGGGAACCCTGATCTGAAATGTGAAGATGGTGTGGAGGCCAGAGGCTTGTCCAGGACAGGAATGCGTGGGGTGGTTCCAAGGCAGCTTGTCCTGGTGACATCATGGCTTCTGACAGGAGTGCCCAGGAGGCCACAGGTGTGACTTTAGAGGGCAATAGACTTCCAAGAGACGTCCATCCCCTTCCACCCGTGGCGGGGAGCAAGACCCAGAAGCCAGTGGCTCCCTGTGGGACGGGACGACAGGGAGTGTGGCAGGAAACACTGCCAGTGGATGTGGCAGCATTTGCAAAGTGTTTGCTCGCCTCTTGGCTATCATTCTTTTTCCTTTCAAAAGCCACACTCCATAAACTGATGCCAATGTTCTGTATTGTGGGTTTCCAAGCCAGCGTGCATGTGGGGAGTTTCAGCATCCAAGTGTGTCTCTGTAAACACTCTGTGACGTGGACACAAAGGTAGAGGTTATGCAGACCTTCAAGCCACAAGATGAAAGCTAACCTAGTGTTTCTGCCAAGCTGCTTTACGACCTAGCTGACAGCTTGCAGAGCATCTGTGCAGGGGCTGTGGCCTCCTCCTCGATTCTGTCTTTTGTTTCAACAGAGTCCTACTAGTGTTGTGCGCACTCTGTCACGTCAAGAGTAACTGGATCTCTGACTCCTCTGATTACCTTCCTAACACTTGTGTGCTGTTATAGACCACATGTGAAATCTGTTGTAGGGATAGTGTATCCCTGTCTTCCTCCGAGATATGTGTCTGTTTCAAGTGTGAGTAAACAAGCAACTTCGCAATATTTTCTTACGTTCCATGCACCTACTTTTTAAATTCCCTATGTGATGTTTGTTCATCCTATAGAGAAAAAAAATCTGTATCTGTGTATGTATTTTCTGTCGTGTCTATTTGTGTCTAAATAAAGTTTATTGAGGATACAGGTGGCATTTGTGGCTACTAAGAGTTGCAGAATCAAATTGGGACCAGCTGGCTCCAGAAGGTGAAATGGGTTGAACAGGTAACCACTGAAAAATACAATCCTAGTCATACTCATATCAACCCAAACCTGGGATTGCTGGTCATCCTGTAATCATCCGCTGTGTGATAATTACCTATTGCTGTGAAACAAATAACTCTGCAACGTAGCATTTTAAAATAATAATAAACATTTATTATCTCATGTAGTTTTTGTGGGTTGGGAATTCGGGTGCTGTGGACTTGGGGTTGTGATCACAATGTCAGGTGGGCCACATCATCTGAAGGCTTGACTGGGGCTGGAGGGTCTGCTTACAAAATGGTTCATGCACACGGTGCTGGCTGCTAGCAGGAGGTCTCTGTTCCTCCCTGTGACCCTCTGTCCATGGATACTTGAGTGTCCTCACTGTGTGGTGCCTGGTGATCTGAGAAAGAGAAAGACAGAAGCCACGGTGTCTTTTATGACCAAGTCTATCAGTTACATATCATCATTTTTGCAACGTGCTATAGATCACACGAGTCAGTCCTCTTCTGCATAGGAGGGAACTGCACAGGGGTATGAACACCAGCAGCTGAGGATCCCTGGGGGCCAATTTGGAAGCCTCCTACCACATGTCTACATCCCATGGAGCAGAGGTAGCAATCTGGATCTTTCTGACAGAACATGGTGACTCTTACCAAGGCCTCTCCACTGCTGTGGTTTCCCACCCTTTCCCCTACCCCTACCCCTTGTAGGTGGTCCCACCTGAAACACCAAATCCTTCGGCCAATAGAACTCTTTATATATATATATATTGTAAATACTGTGGCTTTGAGTTCATGCATTCCTTCAACAAATGTTTGTGAACAAGCAATATTCAGAAGTAAAAGATAGAATCTGTCCTTACATTCCACCGGGGGAAGCAGACAAAATAAATTATTGACAATAAGTACGAGCAGAAAAATTAAAGCAGGTCAAGGGGCCAGGAGTGCCATGGCAGGGAGCTGCTCTTGCCAGGGAAGTCCTCTCCGATAAGGTGGGAATTAAGCAGAGAACTGCTCCCAGGAAGAGGCAATGGGAAGGCCTAAGGTGGCGGCTTTCTTGTTATGTCAAGAAATGGCGAGGTGGCAGTGTGAGTACAGCAGGATAGAGGGGGTGAGAGTGGAAAGGGAGGATCAGAACCGCAGAGGAGCCAGATCACGCGTTTATCCACTGGTGGACCGAAGGCTGCTTTCACTTGATCTAGACTCCATTTCAGTCACCGTTGCCTGCACATCCTGGGGACCCTCCCCTGCTCATGCCAGTGGGGCTTTGCCGTGTCTGGGGCTTATTATCCCCCCCATCTTAACTTTTTCTATGGCATCACCCCTCCTGTGAACGCATTGCCTGTCCTTCCCATCCACTCCTTTCTATCCCAGGCCTCCGACACCCCCTTTTTCCATGAATATACCCTGTGTGTATCTTCCTATTTAGGTACCAACTACAGTTCCGAGAGCAAAGAGGCTTGGTTTGAGGGTAGGTGGTGCTTTGGAAGTGGGGATTCCCTTCCAATATCAGGGAATCTTCAGTCCCCTGGACAGCTTGGATTTCTAGAGAAGGGCTTGGCTTCTGTTTACCCTAAATGATGAACAAGCAGGAGATCAGAGAGGGGAAAACATGCAGCAATAGGTCCTTAGAAGAAAGGACAATAGGAAGAAAAGTAGGAATTACGAGGAAAGGAAAGAGTGCGCCATTAAGTCAGAAAGTCCCGAAAAGGGATGTCGGAACTAATTCTAGTGCCCGGTGCTGTGCAACCTAAGGGGTTGGCCAATAACTGTGGGGTCCCCTAGGCTAAAATTTGGGGTCTCCCAACAGGAGAGAGATAAGAGTAGAGGGTTTTGGTAGATAGGACACCCCCACGGTCAGAATTCTATTTCTGCTAATGTCTCACCTTCTCAATCCCACTAACAAAAGAATATCCGCTTATTTGAGGCCTCATCCGAGAGCAGTTAATTACCCCAGCACCTGTGGATCTTGTTACAAAGCAGACAGATCCGCGTGCACCCTCACCCTCAACCTCCTGACATTGCAGGAGCCCTCACTGACACTCGAGTGTGTGTCCGTCTCTGCAATGCCTCTGGCACCTATAAAAAAGACCAATAAGACGGATGTCAACCAAGCTTCCAACAGAGCCTCGCAACACTATTTAGAATAGGGATGGCCAATGCCTGGCTCGTGGATAATCAAAGTCTGACTAGAAATATTATAGTTAAATCCAGCGAAGCAGGTTAGTAGGGCAGTGGTATCACCTTGTTAAGCAGGTGTTAGCCACCTATTTAGTCCTGAAAGTCATGGTGGGCCTACACCATGGCCAGGTGCCCCCAGAAGGCCTAGGGCCTAAGGAAGAAGAGAGAAAAAAAAATAAAGGAAGAGGGACCAGAAAGGGAGTAACTGGTGTTGGAGCAAAGCGTGGAGAGAGAAAAGAAAGAGAATTAAACACACGCAATGGAGAGTGGCCCTGTGTCAGAGGTCTCTGTGTAGGTCCCTTCCATGGGGTATTTACATGGGGCCAGTTTGCTTTTAGGTACCACTTAGAGTTCAGCTGAATTTGCTCTGCAGGAAGAGAGGCCCCACAGCTGTTGGCCACCCTGACCCCCGGGTTGCCCAGCATTGTTTTGGGCTCCATGGGCACAGGAATTAGTTCTCACACCCCTTTTCGGGACTTTCTAACTGAATGGCACACTCTTTCCTTTCCTCATAATTTTTACTTTTCTTCCTACTCTCCTTTCTTCTGAGGACCTATGGCTGCATGTCTTCCCCTCTCTGATTTCTTCCTCTGAGCTGCTGCTTGTTCATCATTTACAGTAAACAGAAGCCAAGGCTAAGAAAGGTGCTGATCTGAGTGACCATGAGTTTAGACCCAGTTCCCCCTGAAGTCTTTGCTCTATTAAGTAGGTGAGATCACCCCAGCCCCCATGCGGGACCAGAGCAGTCTTTAGGAAGGCACAGTCCACACCGGCTGCCTCAGTGAAAACCCCGTGATGAAGTCTTCCATTTGCTGAGCATTTACTGTGTGCCAGCACTTCACATACACTGTCTTATTTTAACTTTTAGAACAACCCCGTGGGAGAGCTCTTGTTATCGCCTTCTTATAGGCAAAACACCTGAAACCCAGAGTGGTTGAGTAACTTGCCTAAGTCAACCGCCAACAGTCAGTCCTATTTCCTTGTGAGTCCAGGCCTGACTCTCAAACTCATGCTCCTGTTTGCTGTGCCACCGGCCTCTGGAACGTGGGGAGTGGCGGAGGGTCACGTGTGGGTCGTGGTTCCGTGGGAGCCACACACAGCCCACATTCAACAAGAGATGACTCTTTTTATCAGAGGCGCACCTTTTGCAAGATAGGGAGTCACAAAAAAGGATGAGCCAGGAGTTAGAGCATTAACAGCAGATTAGCAGGGGCCATGCAGAAGGGAAGATCAGTCCCCTCAGATATGTTTTCGGAGTCTGTCTACGTGAACATAGCTGCAGAAACCCTATTCTACAGAGGCAATTTGGTGAAACACTCAATCAGGGTGGTTGTATTTTTGTGTCTGGTTGAAAAGTCCAGAGGATTCTTTCCAGCAGCCCCCGCATTTCAATACCGTGCAGTCCAGTGATCCTCCAGCAGGGCGTCCCTGGCCACGCCAGGCCTGGATAAGGAGTCCTTCCCGTGGCGGTGGTGGCGGCAGATGTGTGTGTGTCACTGCAGCTGCAGAGTGAGAGTGCTGTGCTTGTCCCCACGGAGGTAGTCACGCTGGTTACTGCCTGCCCCTCCCCTGGTATCCCTCACCTTTCACCAGGTCACTCCTGCCGTGCCAGGAGCCAGACAGAGGGGCATGTGTGTGTGTGTGTGTGTGTGTGTGTGTGTGTGAGGGGGGAGCGGGGAGGAAGGGAGGGAGGGGAAAGAGAGAAATCCCTGAAGCCTTTGGGAAAAGGTAGGAGCTGCACAATGGTCGCTGCACTGTAGGAAGCAGACTCTATTGCCCGTTTATTCATTCAG